TATATATTCTGCAATTACTTTTTTCTTCTTACATAATAATTCTTGGCTTCGAAAATTCGTAATAGTAATCGCAACGTTTACAAAATAGAATAAAAGCATCGATTAATGTAAAAAAGAAAAAAAAAGAACGATTGTAAGTAATAGTTTCTATTCTATTTGTGGCTCAAACGAAACATATGTCTTTTTCTAAAATAATTATCATTACCATTATTAGTTCCTTCCAATTAATTGCACGATTATATTCTACTATTCACATACTTGAATAATACGACGCACCTTACTGCATTATGACAAGATAGAAATTATTCAGTCATAAGGCATCAGAATGGATTCATACCCGTCAAATTTCTTTGTTACTAATAGTGATTAAGTATACAATTTACTTCAAACTATACTTGTATACCTAGGCTCTGAATTAGGTATGATAGATTAAGTAGATTATTTAGTTTTTTTTTATTGCTACATAATTTGACTGAGATTTCAAATTTCATTGAATGTAAAAAAGTCACTCTCACTTAGCGGTTGTGAGTAGAAAAAAAAGAAAAAAAAAATTGAATTAATATATATATGTATTTATATATATATATATATATACTAAATATTTGAAACTAAGATTAAACGAAGAATTCGCATATCGGATTATATATTACGATACCCTACTAACTCCAATAAAATTATGGCATCGTAACGTCGACTTGGCGATCCTCTCAAATGCATACATAAATTATGTACAATAATTTACTGGTGTATAATAATAAAACTTTTGTTTTTGTTCTTTCGTTAAGTATAACTTATTACACAATTTCTTGAATAACAGAAAGTTATTACAGTTTACTTAAAAAACCATTAATTGTCTTTTTATATTTGATCTAGAATAATGGTCGAGTCTAAGCTCAAATTATATCGAATGATTTCAGTATGTAAGTTTAGAAATATTTTTTTTTGGTATTATACTCCTAATAATAATAATTGAACGAAGTTTATTGCACTAGTATTAATAATAAGAAAACTGTAATAACTTACCAATGAAAAGATCAAATGCGAGTACTGCTTCTTATAAGGGATATTATGAATATGAATAACTTATTTCTCTTAGGTGTTGTATATGGTAGCATATACACCCCCAATCTTATAACAAATAATTTTGTTCAATGCTTAAAAGTTTGTTTAAGAATCATACGATGATGATCCATGATCATGAGCAGGACTCGGAGGTGTTGATGGATTCGAACTATTGTTAGAAGCAATTGAATGTCTAGGACTTCCACCGGATGGATGATCCTAAACAAATAAATTGATTAAGTTTTTAGTTATTGTAAATTAATAAAATTAAATAAATCAAACTATACATACTTTATCGTGTAAAGATGCGATACTGCCCAGAGAGAGCGGAGTGTGCGAGCGTAAATGTAAAGATTCGGAATCAACTTGATCAACTGGTGTACGCGGTAGAGAGGGTGGAGTAGCAGTAGGACGTGGTGGAGCAGGACCTCTTCGTGATGATGTTGAACCTATGAAGCAATATAAAGTTAAAATGATATCTATAATTATTTGAATATCCTAACTTAAAAATTATAATACCATTATGAGGCGAATAACCAGAATTTCGTGCCATATGAGAACTTAATCGACGTGTATCAGAAGGTGGATGTCTAGGAGGCAATGGAGCTGGTTTACTTGGTGTTTGTAAAGTAGAGCCGTATAACTAAAAATAAAGTCAAAAATAAATATATGATATGAATATATTTTATATATTTGTTTCCTTGTTATTCTTACTCGTTGTTGACTGCCATGTATATGAGAGCTACTATGATGAGCGGAGTGTTGTTGATCAGCTGTTTCAAGAGTCGTTGGTAAGTCTAACAAACGCTGAATCTATATAGGGAATAAAATAAGTGTCTTAAATGTGCTTTTTAATGGAAATAAAATATTAATAATATAGAAATCGTCAATTTAATTTGCTTACCTGTATACCATTACCTGGTCCCATATGACTAATATGATTAAAATTTGTAGGAGCAGATATCATCTTAGAACGTCTATCGGTAGGACGAACAGCTCTATTTCCTTCTCTCAATGAAAATCTTCTTCTAGGTCTTGTCATCTGCCTACCATTTGCATCTAATGGAGTCAAATTTAATAATTCTCCTGTTTCATGGAAATAATTACTCATAAAAATCGTACGAATATTACATTAGAATAATATCAGATAATTGTTATTAATATAATTAAAGATTTACGTTGATGTAAATTGCTGAGATAGATAACATGAGGCATGTCATTGATAATGCAAGATGTTAAAGAGCCAGAGATATTTAAGGGCTGTGCTCTTTTCACATTGAGCGTTTGCAACCAATCCCCTGTTGTACAATCAAATACATCAATGTGAGTTTCGCTGTATACTAATAAATATCCCTCGCAATAACCTGAAACATACAATATTATATAGTCTTAGCATTGTTATTGATTGTGTAAATATGAATGAAAATGAAAGTGTACTCACTGACTGCTGTAGGAACAGCTGGATACATTATTTCCCGATCTCTACTTTTTCTACCTTGACTGTCAACATATACTGCTAATGTATGGAAGACCAATAAAAATTCTCCACGTGTTAATTCGATACAACGTAATGCATCTACAGCACTATATGTTAGAAAACCAAGAAGTGTATTTTCGGGATGGACCAATGCTGAAAAGATAAATAATGAAATTAATTTAATATTCATAAATACATCTAATATAAATATATCAATGTTTTTCTCTAATCCCTTACAAATAGGGTGATGGTCTCCTAAGATGCTGTAGATAGTAAAACCAGAAGGATATCCAACGCAAAGACGTCCCTCAGAAAATACTTGTAAGGTTTGTGCGTGACATGGTAACATTAATTCACGTATACGTTTATGTCTTGCTTTTGTACGTGTTATTTCATAAATAATAACTTGAGAAGAATTCTACAATTTCAAAGATATTAGATACTTAAATTTTAAATGATTACAAACATATGTATATGAAAAATTGTGATACCTACCTGTTTTTTCATAGCAACACACAAGCAGTATGTGAGTGGACTACGACGTACTACGCCTGTCGTTAATGTTATGCATCCTTTTGTTTCGGCAACTTTAATCCATTCAACCTCATCCCCGTCTAATGCGCGTACCGGCACCAACCTGATGTGACGTTGTTTGCCACTAAGCACTACGATAAGCTGTTCTTCAGTTACATATTCAAGAAGATATATTTTTTTACCTTCACCAACCCTTGCTATTTCTGTAAACATTATTCAGTATATTATAAGAATATTTACTGATGATTATAGTTAGTATACCCATTTAAATTTGACTTACCACTACGATCTAAATCTAAACAGAAGAGGCCTTCCTCTGTGCCAATGACTAGACGATCTGGATCAATGATAGCTCCTGACATTACATTCTTAATAAGAGACAATGTATTATCTAATAATTCTTTCGCTCTAAAAATCTATCAAACAAACAAAATAAATAAAAACTTTAATTAATGTTGATTACCATATCTACTCTTAAGGAAAATATTTATTTTATGTTATTATACCGTTGTATTGGGAAGATTGTTTCTTTTTAAGATTCTATGAAGCTCACTTAATGCTACTACCCATTTTGTTTTTTCACTTTCTGTGTCTGCAAGCATTAGTGTATGGTTTTTTAGACCAGGTGGTTCTAATAATGATGTTGTAATCTAAATGAGTAAAAAAATAATTGTTATTAAATAGAACAAGTAGCTGTATAATAGGAATAAATATTCTTAAATACTTACCCTGAATATACATGGAATATCTTTTTTTGTAGCATGTATAACATCTGAATCACGAACAGAACTAACACTAAATTCTTCATCTCGCATATCCAAAACTTGCGACACATATACTGACGGCAAAGCATTGCGGTCGGGTGAAATATCATACAGAAATAACTTAAAATCGCAAACTACCACAAATTGCCGTACCCAACCTTTTTTAACTCCTCCCATTTTTGGCACTTTAACATATCCTTCATATGCAGTACCAATCCCTCTGGTAGGATCGATACCCAGTGGACGCTTTGCTACAATAAATTAATTTTAACATTAATATTAAATTCAAGTAACTATTTCTATATAAAATTCATTAATTGATGATAGATACTTTGATCGTGAGGAACAGGACACATAGGTGAAACTTTATCACAACAAGACATGTGACAGGCGAAGCCGCAAACTTCACATACAACTCCCTGTCTCGTTAGACCAACCATCAATGAAGTACAATGATTACATTTAGTGGGAGCTGAGAATGTTCTCACCAGGAATTGGTGAGATTTAGGCTTTGGTTGTAAATTAACTTGACCATGAGAAGTCGATGATTTATTCAAAAGTTCATGTGACAATGGTGATGTTGGATCCTAAACAAAAATTTAACAAGCATTAAATAATCTAAATCTTTGCAATATCTTTTTATGTTATATATAAATAAGTATAATATAAAAATATAAATTGTTAGATATACATAGGTACTCACAATGCTAAATTCAGATAAATTACTTTTACTACTAGTAATACTTGGGGCACGGTTGTCTTCAATATCACCTTCTACACTATCTGCACTTCCATGACGAGCACTACTTGCTGTTTCTTTCAAAAAGTGTTCCAAGTAAGACATTTGTGATGTAGGACGTTCTAAAACTGAAACAATATTAAATAATATATATTTTATGCTGATTTGCTCGTGTTACAAACATTAAATAATTTGATGGCATCAAGTGGCATTAAAAGAAATATATTTATGCAATTACTTTGATCATTATCTAATATTGTTATTTCCTAAAAAAAATTTCTATCCGATATAAAAATATAATAAATATATTATGGACTGTTCAAATTGTAAATAATATGTATAAAAAATTATATTGTAACTCATAAAGTTATTAAATTACTTAATTTTTCATAACATCTTCCAACGAAATTTTCAATTAAACCATTCCATCACACAATTTCTGTTAAAAACAATGACTATTATATATATGTGACACGTTTATAGGATTACATATATAATAATATGCATCGGTGAAGGTAAGGATAATAATACAGTATATCAACCAAAACCACCCGAGCAAACAGTCTAGAAAACACACAAAAAACATACCTGTTAATGTTTATTTAATAAAAATCAAACGATTGACTAGTACTAAAAATATTCAAGCCTAACAAGATCCAACCTCCACTTAAGAACAGTGGAAGATCACTAGTGCCAATAGTCATTTTGAAAATAATGACATCACACATAAAAACACATTATTCAGCTTATACATAATTTGTTAAAAAGCACAGAGCTATGTTTCGTTACTACATAAATATTATTGAAATAGATAAATGAATAACATATAAGGAAAATTTATATGTAATTTTACAGAAGCTAATTTCTTAAGCTCATTACAGATTATCTTCCGTTGTCCTTATTAAAAGCTAAATAATGATTTAAAAACACCTTGATTAAACACAGCACTGTGCTATAAAATCAGCAACTCAATATGTCAGTCAATCAAAATCGCGCGTCTGCTGCCACATAATTTACCGGGCGGCGGAACGATGGTAACGGCATTCTGACTGATGTACGTGTTGACGGGAACGAATCTAGTTAATAAGCGACATGTTGTGATGCGGGAAGCACGCATTACTGGTAGGGGTGATGACGGCTGGTGCACGATGATGCGTTGGGGTTTGGTGCTAACGATGTTTGACGATTTGCTTGACGTATTGCTGGATAGCACAGCTGTCACAAATACAGTTTGAAGATGAGCAACAAGAGGCCCCACACGCAGCTCGTTACGCCAATAAACAGGGGCACTTTGTAGTCTAGAAATCAGAATTGCATACCGTACCGAAGAACTAAATTACTATGCTGGACACATAAATATTATCCCAGTAATAATGATCTTTTTTTTTTAAACTGATACTTCATACAATGATATCGAATATATATCTAAATGAATTGTACCCAATTCTTTTCGCAATATCTTTTGGAAATTTTTGACGAACATTTTATTTTGTTCTCCATCCAACTAGCTTATCAGTGAAGCCTGATTATTATACTTAGATGTAATATCATCGGATAATTTTTTTACGTGATATATTCCCATACGAATAAAATTAAATATAATGTATAGAATATCATGTACAGTATTCTAATGACAGCATATTGGAACAAAGTGCGTAAGTGCCTTCTGTTTCCAAAATTAACAATGTACTTGTATATTAAATAAATAAATAAATATACGTATAATTCTAATATAAAACATACCTATTCTATAATAAGACGATCTTATGAAACGATATAAATAATATAAAATTAGTAACTTGTTCTACATTTAAATACTATGTACACATAATCAAACATACAATGTTAATTTATCTTTTATATTCTATAAACGTATATAATTACTTATAAATAATTAAATGATAATATTTATACATATATTCATACATATATAGTATATACCTATTTACATTATATATTTTATATAATTATATTAGTTCTGCTTTCTAGTAGTAATAATTAATACTTGTAATTTGTAATCTCCATAAATTTATATGAATATCATATCTATTTTACTATGTAAAATATAATATTAGTATTTAATTTCAAGTAATTAAAAAAGAATACTTTTTATCTTGAGTTCTATATTAAATATTATTAAAATTTAAATTCGAAAATTACATGTAATACTATTGTATGTAATAATATATATTGTATATATTTAAAATTTATCGAGATTCATTTTAAAAGTATTTCTTTGTCAAACGTTGATCAAAAATGAACAATAGACAAATACATATAGTTAGACAAGGTTTGAGCGCTTTATTGGGAAACAATATATTATGAAATACAATTTTGACTTGTATTTAAAATATTATATAAAAAGGTTCATATATTATTTTTAAATAAATGCTATGTTATAAAATTATATCAATTTATAATTACTTTATAGTTGTAAAAATTTGTTAATTTATGTTAATTTTTCATTTTTTAATAAAAAGTAATATATGAAGAACGTAATTTATAAAGCATGAGTTTGACTAATACATTTTTGACCACTTATCATTTTTTATATTATTGTACATTACCTATAATAGTTTGCATTACCAAACAAAGACATGTATACATAAATAGTATTCTATGATATAATGTAACACACATTGAACATGTGTAAAAACTACATGGACTCTAATAAATAATCATATAGAAAAGATCATATGCTCTTTTTTATATTTTTTTAAATATTTTCCAGAATATTAAGTAAGTAAATGCATTCTATTTTCTACTTTTATTTTTCATTTCATATCAGAGATCCGTTTGATAAAAAATGTAATGATCAAAGTAAGAAGGATTTAGTCACCCTCTTAAAATACTTTTTAAGCTGTCCAAATCTTTTTCATTTTTTAATCTGGGATAATTACAACATAATAAATCTTTGAAAAATAAATAACTTCTAAGGGGGACTATTTGTTGCATTAGGATATATATATAAAAAAAATATATATATCATCGACTTAATGTCCAAATGAATTATAGGCAGGACAGAAACATTTATAAAATACATATGTGACATGTATTACTGCAGCTTGTATAACTATTGCAGATATAATATCTCCATAATAATTTAAATAAGAAACTTTTGTATAACTTTTATTGGTAGTTTTATGAATGGAAGTGTACTTACAGCCATCACCAGTATCAAGCCGCGTTTGTAATTCTTTAATCTGCATTTCTTTCCGTTTCATTTCATGGGACATTGAATCATATCTCTGTCTAACATCTTTTAATTCTCTGTGAATAAAATGAATAATATTTATAAATTAAACGAATTATTTATACTTTAATGTTATTTTATAATTGCATTACAGCACTAAAGTATATGATATAAGAGCTTACTTTTGTACAGCAATTAATTCTGATCGATTTTTTGTTAATTCTTCAGAAATTGCTTGCTTTGCTTGTATTTCACTCTGCAAAGAGCTCTGTAAATTTAATAATTCCATTTTATCAAGTTTCTGCGATCTACGATTACGCCAATTCTTGTCTGCCATAGTAGAGCCGCCTCCTACTCCTGTTACACCACCAGAATGTTTTAAAAATTCCAATTCCTCAGTCATTTTTGTCGCCAAAGCCTAGAATTTATGAGTATATAATATATTTTATAATAATTAAAATCTACTTTAATAGATATATAAAATATGTACCTGTAAATATCCTCTAGCATCTTTCTCATCTGAAACCCATTGAATAATCTCAGTAATTTGAGCTTCCCATTGAGCTATAGCTTCCTTTTTGTTCCTTAATTCTTCATATTCTTCTTCTAATTGTCTTCTTTCACCCTGTATTCTATTAACACTATCAGTAACATTACTAAGCTCAAGCAAAAGTTTCTTATTTTCTTCGACTAGCATAATTTTCTCTCTCTCGTGTCTTCTGTTCAATTCATTTATCGTATCTTCACTATCGGTAATATTTTCTAACCTTGCCGCATCTAATTTCTCCTTGGTAAGTTGAACCTCACGTTCCAACAATTCTCTTCTCGTCTCACCTTCGTGCAATTGTTCTTGGAGACTTCTCATTTCGAGATTGAATCTACTTTGTTGCTGATTTAAATTTTCATTGTATTGTACCTCAAGTTTCTCTACCTCTGCTTTGAGTCTGTTTATTTCTTGAGTAGCTAAGGCTTGATTGGCACTTGCATCATTTCCCATAGAACGTTGTCTGATCTTTTCTGTTTCTTCTTGCATTTGTCTGCAATATTCCTCGCTACGTTCTCGAAGTTTCCTCTCTTTCCTAGTTTCAGCCATTGCTTCCTCCACTCTATTCTCCAATTCTCTACGTAATTTTTCAGCTTTCCTTATGTCGTGTCTTAAACAATCAATTTTCTGCATAGCAACTTCCAAATCTTCTTCCTTGTCCCTGACTTGTCTAGATAACTTTTGTTTCTGTTGTCTCAATTCAGATAATTTATCTGTCACTTCTGTGTATTCTGCCATGGCAAGTTTACGTTGCGTTAAAGCATCCTTCAATTCTTTATCTTGGAGCTTTAATTTTTCTTGCGCGTCCAACTTGTCTTTAATAGCTTCTTCTTTTTCAGAACGAAGTGAACGCACTAACTTTTCCAATTCACGAAGTTTAGATAAGTCGCCATTATCTAAACTACGTAGTTCACGAGGTATCTCCATAGATTTCAATTGTGATTCTAATTCTATGAAATTCATGATAATAATAAAAAATTTTTACCTCTCTACCATATACTTAAATAATTTTTAAATAATAAATACGCTGTTTCTTACCACAATTCCGTTTTGTAAGAGTATTTATTTCATCTTGAAGTTTTCTCGTTGCATTATTAGAATCAGGTGAAATGCCAGGCGAGGGATGGTTTGCAGCAATTTGATTTTTAAGATCTTCTATCGTCTGCGTTAATTGTAAATTTTCTTCTTCAAGCATCTGAACATGTTTATCCTTTTGATTCAATGCAGATAAACAGCCTAAATCTGAGATGCAACTACAATATGAAAAATATAAATGGTGTAACACAATCAAAGTATATTTGCAATTAAAAATCAAACATGAAATTTATCTCTTACCTTCCTTGTGTAAAGCTGAACCCTACGAAAGGGAGGTGAAGGGCAGAAAATGCAGAATTTGCTGCTGGAGGAACAGCATTGGAACTACGAACATCCGTATCGTCAACATCAAAGTTCGATGTATCAGTTGGTGAAGAAACTTCAGGAATGTAAGGTGCAGTACTGTCCCTAAGAGTGTCCCAATTCACACCTTCAAACCACGGATGTTTCTATGCAAGTAATTTATGTATTTATATTATAAATAGATACAATTTATTATTAAACTAAAAAGATAAATAAATGAAAAGCCGTGATAAATATATATAAATATATGTTATACCTTAAAATCATCAATTCCATTTTGACCTAATCTAAATTCAGAAGTACAAATTAATTTGCGCATCAGATCCTTAGCTTCTTCAGAAACATCATATATATCGTCTGAAGGAAAGTCGAAGCAATTCTGTAATAATAAAAGACATGTAAGAAAATAAATTAGATTAGTAGAGGTGTAAAGGATAATAAAAATATGATTATATAGATATATATTTTTATTTACTTTATGACTCATTATCTTTCCATAGGTTTCGACTAGAGATTCAGCATAAAAAGGTGTCTCTCCATAAAGCATCTCATACATACATACTCCAAGTGACCACCAATCACATTCATGTCCATATTGTCCTTGGCCATCTTCCATTGCCTAAATGTGTATTAAACATTAAATATTTGTTTATTAAACGAAATAATTATCAAAAACAATACAGATGATAAAATGTATGAAATATACCCTTAATATTTCTGGGGAAATATAGTCCGGTGTACCTACAGCAACATTACTTTGCACAGTGCCATCTTCAAAAAGACGCAAGCATGAGCCAAAATCAGCTAATCTAATATGGCCGTTTGCGTCTAATAGAACATTATCAGGTTTAATGTCACGGTGTACATAACGTAAGTCATGTATAGACCCAATAGCTAGCACCATTTCTGCTATGTAAAAACGAGCCATGTCTTCAGGAAGACGATCTTCAAATTTACTTAGCAGCGTTAAGAGGTCTCCACCACAATAATAATCCATGACCAAATACTAAATAAATAAGTGTTTTTCATATAAAAGATATCAATTATTATAAAAATGAAGCAAACTATATAATAATAATTACCAAATTATTGTCATCTTGAAAGGCATAATGAAGATTTGTGATCCATCTGCGATCACCGTAAACTAGTACATCTCTTTCTTCTCGAAAACATGCAGTTTCAGCACGTTTCAACATTTCCCACTTATTCAAAATTTTCATTGCAAACACTTTATCTGAACCACGCATTCTTACAACGCATACTTCCCCAAATGCTCCTCTACCAATGACTTTAACTATTTCAAAATCTTCACGTGCCAACTGCAGACTCTTTATACAAGTAGCTACTGGTTTTACTGTAAAACAATAATACGATAAATGCATTGCAGTAAATTTTGATCTATAATAACTATATAATGTATGAAAAAAGATAATATTTAAAAATATAAGTACCAAATTCAATAAAGTCTGAGACTGTCTTCTCACGTCGTAAAGAAGAGTTGCAACATTCATCATATAGAACAAGCAGTATATCGATAAGGGTTTCTATAGAAAAAGTATGCCCCACTTTTCCTCCTTGTACAGGACCACTAATAAAAAGAGCTTCTAATTGACGTAGCCTACCCCCTACGCCTGGAGAAATGTTGATAATATTACAGAACATTTGTTATATACATAATTTAGATAATTGATTAAATGATCGTCAATTAATATACCATTGATAGCAAGACCCTTCGGCATAATATCTGGTGGAGGGTGGCTGTAATGATGTTGTGAAGATTCCGACATGTCTCTTTCTTGATGCAATCCACGTTCACCACAATCTTTGGATAGTACTTCTGTCATTGTTATTATTATTTATTAAGTCTTTGTACTGCCACATTACGAGCTGACACAACTGCTAAAATATATCAACATTTTATCACATCATTAAAAATGTTTTTCTTTTTAAATATGCGAAAGAACAATGGATCACATACAATTATACAAATGTAGGTTAAGATTTAATAACGTTTTACAATAGGTATAATCCTGTTTTGTATATTTAAATATGATATAATTAGCAATCAATGGGAGTTTCATTATTATCATAAAATTAGTAAGATCTTTATATATATATTTTTGAAGCTATGTATACATATATATTTATTCTATATGTACATAATACAAATATACATATAAAAACAAAGCACATTACTAAAGAAAAATTAAAATATAAATAAATAGATATATTGTCATCTTAAATGAATATTAAAATCTAAGATAAATATGTATTATTAATTAAATATCAGCACATTGCGTGACATTATATCAGAGATAAAAGATCAGATAATATAATTAAAAATAAATAAATAAATAATAAAACTATTAAATGTGAAAATGCGTATGTTACCTGAAGTAAATAATCTTCCATAGGCATGTCTAAACAAGACCACTTTCACTAGTTAAGAATAAACGTAATTCTCACTTAGGGCAAACATTTGTCTAACCATTTAGTTAACGTTAAATATGAAAAACTCGTAATAATATTGTTCGTTGGTTGGTTACGACGTCAGAAATCAATTCCGTAGAACGATAGGATGCGTAATGCGTATCCGTACTAACGTATCGACGCTTTACTACTTGCAAAACAATAGACTTTTATTTAATTCCTCATCGACCATCGTATCAAAGTAACTCATGTTGAAAATTACGTAACCCACTATAAAGATAGCCAAAAATATTTGGCTAAAACATGCAACAGAACAAATACGCGTAAATAAAAAGTGCAGGTGTAAAAATAGTGCAACGGGGTAGGGCACCGCATACGCGCTCAATGAATTCAATAAAATCACCAAGACAATTTTCTCTTCGAGATAGTAAGCCGCTCGATCTATTTGTCTTCAATTGTTTTACGATTATACGTTAATATCATTTGTTAAAACGATTTTAATCCTAACAACTATTGTCCTAATTTTCATTGGATATATAACCTCGTCGAACACTCCCGTTTCCTTAATATTTCTTACGAAAAATTCCTATCGCATGTGAGCAGACTATTTTAAGTGAAAGGCTTGTATTCCTTTACCGATCCAAAATGAATCCTCGATCGGATTCAAGCATACCTGCCGTACCGACGCGACTTAACTTCTTCTTTCAAATGACTTCAATTGTTTATTATCTACACTATTTGATTATCACTAAACATCTCGTATGGCCACCATCTCCAAACCCCCAACAATTTACTTGACCCCCTGGCAGGCCTATGTAAAAAAATATATAGCATCCCTACGTCATTCAGAGTCCCCATGATCATATACTTATATAGGTGGACTACACACTCGTTTATTTTATTCTTAATACTTTTTAATTGCTCCACATCCAAAATTAGAAAATAAGATCTAACGCATGATTAATCCATTATTATTGACTTTAAAAAAACATAATTAATCTCTTTTGATGAAGATAACTTTTAATGATAATTACTTTGAAAGTATGTATGTAGTCGATATATATAAATGCATGGAAATATATATACTGATACATACCTGTGAACACATACATACTTTGGTAGCATTCATATTTCGATTTTTCTATTATATATGCAATATGTATATGTACACTAATTCGTTACAATTTTCTTCTATTTTCTAAGGTTTTCAGAAGATTTATTACCACCTATCATTTTATATTCATCCTTTCGCCATATTTGTTAAAGCAAACAGTTGATGGAATACAACTTTTGTATAAAAAGGATAAGAAGCGTACTATTCTCCGATTTTGATTGGTTCTTCTTGTGAACCAGTCACGTTCATCAAATTTTTAATTAACGTACTCCGATTGGCTAATGTTTTTTACGTAAATAGCAAATAAATTTATACTAATAAATTCACAAAAATAAATGTTAATAATATTAAATGTATACATTTTAAGGATTACTCACTTCCAATGAGTGATTTTTTATCTTAACTTTATAGACAAAATAATGGGGAAAGACAGAGTGATTTATAAGATAAAAATATCAAATCAAATAAATGACCATTTCTATCATTTTTAGTTCTAATAAACACGCAATATGACAGAGGCACTACGATCGCTACAGAGTTGCCGATCATCCTGCATATTTATTATGAGACTTTTTAATCAGGATTAATTTTAATAAGAATAATTGTCTAATAATCTCTCAATTAATATTTAATGAAGTTTACTAACGGTTTCGAAGCAATTACTGAAGCGGTTCTTTTAATCTCGCTCAGTAGATTGTGGAATGTGCGACGAGGAGCTACTGTGTTACGCAGCTCCGCATGATGCCATCTCAAAATATTATTTTAAACACGAAGAATTCGTGTCTTATGCATTATCGAGTTAATATTTTACCCCTCGATATAAGATATAAAACGTTTTATATGGACACTGTGTCCTCAGTATTAAATAAATCCGGAATTATTATTTTTACTCGGTAGCATGTATACGTGGCAACAGAGCAAAGCTGGGCTCGAGTGCCCAGTCACTTCCTAGTCAAAAGAATTTCATCGATCACAAACAATAATATATTTATATCGTTGAACAAGTGAAATACAGTGAAAACATTAACTTCAATAACGACGATTCCAATATATACGCTTACTTGATTGCGAAATTTTTGGTGAAACATTTTCCTATGCCTAATTATTCGTAACATAACAAGGAGCGTCGGTTTTATGCGTTACATGTGCAACCACTGTTAAAGTTGACTTCACCCGCTAGAATTTTTTAAATGCGTCTATGAACAAACACAATTTTTCATCTTTACTATTACTTGGACTATTTATTATCCGCTCGGATGTATTAAGGCTATATCTCGTGTCCTATTGATACACGTGAATGCATTAATATCGCTATCTAATTATATGTGTATATATATATTACATGGTGTCTTAAGCATACAAATACTTTATTGAATTGCTAGGAAAAGAAAAATCTTTGGAATTTCATCTCTGTAAGTTGTTTTATGTTTTTCTTCAATATCTTCAATGATACTTTCAATTATTCGTCATATTTATCAAAGCATCATATATA